AGCAGCATAGACATAGGGCTGTCATGCGGCAGTTAATTGCACCTGCTGACCATTGGGGCGGCAGTATATAAGTACGGCCCTCCTTCTCGCACGCTCACTAACGCATCATTTCCGGGTCAGGTGTTTGCCTGTGCAGGTAATGCTCCATGCCGCTGCTGCGGCTACTGCTCTGTTTCATCTTTTACTGTGTCCTGTTGCTTAAAGCCTGCGTGTTTTCACTGCAGAGCAGCGACCGAGTGCCCCGTGCTTTGTGCTCCATGCTCCGTTTAGACCTTGGTTCTCTCTGGCGGTGGTAAGTGTCCTCTCTCTCTGTGTTACACCGAATGCTATCCTGTAGCTAACGCTAGTGTGGTCACAGGTAGATGTCCGCTGCCGTGTGGGTCTCTCTCTCCCTCCCTCTCCCTGTGCAGGTTTGACTTTGAAAACAGGTATGCTACCTTAAATCTAACTCTCAAAAGCTTTGATTAATGTAGTTTAGCTATGCTAATGGTATGTTTATTGACAGGGAATGCTCGTCAGCTGGCCGAAATCTACAGGTGGCGATTCACGTGCCTTCACCACCAGCTGATTGGGACCGCTGCTGTTTTGTCTCTGCTTTGTCTCTGCCTTGTCGCTGCTTTGTCGGTGTTTTGTCTATGCTTTGTCTACACTGATTTATTTACATTGCTTTGTCCGCACCGCTTTGCCTCTGCCGTTAAACACACGGTTGCTGTGTTGTTTATACCGCTTTGTCGACTATATGTCTGCTGTTGTGCCCCTACTGCTAGCTGCATAGCTGTGTCTCTGCTGCTGTATGTGACATTGTCCCCTGCTTTGCCTCTGCAGTCACTTATTCCTTGCTGCCGTGTTCTGCGGCTCTGGCTGCTTGGTGGCTTCTGGCTACAGCCGGCTTGCATGGTGAACTGCAGACACCATACTTTTAATCTGTTTATCTCTTTTATTTTAGCTGAACGATGGTGAGGAGTTAATCCCTTATTTTTGTATTACTTGTTTTGTTTATTGTTTTGATTAACTAGCTTGGTAAGCTTAATTGGTTAACTATTTCCTGCTTTATGTTGTATATTGTTTTTATTATATTTATATTTTGTGTTAAATACTTCCATTGTAACTTTTGTTTTCCCTTCTCAGTGGCTGCAGGCTGGTGGTGGTGTTGGTGACGTGGGTGGTGGTGTCCCTCCTTCTTGTGTGCTGTGCTTCCTTGGATTTGGTGATACCACAGTGTGTGACTGCCACGTGTGTCTGGGTGAACCCTTTTTCTTTAATTTAATTTTGTTGAGTCCCCTTCCCCTTCACCTGCTCTTTCCCCACCAGTAGGCCTCAGCCCCTGATTAGGCTCCCTTTTTCATTTATTGGGATGAATGCTATTTTTTATGATATATATATTTATTAAATAAAGTATTTTTGTAAACTGGGAACCACGTGTCTTGCCTGTCGAGTGGAACGAACCTGTGTTTTTGGTCAGTGTAAAATAATTCCTTGGGTGCAATTCCCAAGGTGGCGTTGTCGTGCAACCTAAGATTCCCATTGAGAGAACATTCATTTTTGTTCGCAACCCCCGCCACAATCTGGCGTCGTCGGCAGGATCTACTCTTCCAACAGGCAAAGACGTGTGTTCCTTGTGGGTTTTATTTTTTTTCCTTGTGTTTTTTTCTCTGGTGTACTAATGTTGTTTTTCTTGTAGGCATCTGCACGAATTTAAAGAGACAAAGCAGCAGTGGTTTCCAGTGGACCTTCGTGCCAGTTTTGGTGAGATTTGGTATAGCAGATTAGGCCTAGGTAGTAGTTTGAGCTTTATTGTAGCTATGGAGGAAGAGTTACAGGAACTTAGAGACCTGATTAAACAGTTAAAGGCTGATAATGAGCGGTTACGACAGGAACAGGCTGGCTCTAGTGCCTTACCGTCCACCTCTTTTGTGCCACCTACTGCCCCTTCTACTTCCAGTGTCCCTGTAACAGAGAGGCTGGTGTTTGTGCCCCGTGATAGGAAGTGTCCTGTTTTTAGGGGAAGGACGGGTATGGGGTTGAGTGAGTGGAGGGAGGAAATACAGGTGTGTATGAGGTCCCGGCGTTTATCCCGGTCTGACCAGGCATTTTTTCTGTTTGACCACCTAGAGGGTGAAGCTAGGGAGGAGCTAAAGTATCGCCCTAGCACAGAGAGAGAGGACCCTGATAGAGTATTGGCTATTTTACAGGAGCTGTACGGGTGCTTGGAGTCTTATGTTGCTCTGCAGAAGGCTTTCTTCTCCAGAAGGCAGCAGGAGGGAGAGACTCTTCAGGAGTTCTCCCTTGCTTTGATGGGCCTCATGGAGAAGGTGAAGCAGCGTGCACCTACTGAAGTGCCAAATGCAGAAGCTCTTTTGAGAGACCAATTTGTTGAGCATGTGCTGGACAGTGCCCTGCGTCGTGAGTTGAAGCAGTTAGTGCGTAGACAGCCCAATTACACCCTGCTTGCTGTTAGAGCAGAGGCGATTCAGTGGGAGCTTGAAGGTCTACCCAGCGGTGTGAGGAGCCGCAGTCATTCAGTCCCCTTAGTGTTTGGTGTTCAGTATGGTGTTCAAGGTAACCCGCAGGGCGTTTCTTCCCCCTTGTGTCAGAGATGGGTGAGATGAGGGAGATGCTACAGCGTCAGCAAGAGCAGCTTAATAAGCTCACTGAAAGCATTGCCCGGCTGCAGGTCTCTCATCAGCACAGTCACCCACCTCGTACTGGCCCAATGCTATGCAGGCGCTGCAATCAGCCTGGCCATTTTGCGAGGGAGTGTAGAGTGCATGCTCCCCGCTCACAATCCCATTCACAGCCTCCATCTAATCCTGGTAGGCAGTCTCATTTTGCTTCTGGGTCGGAAAACTAGTACCCACCAAACTGCAGAGTCACAGTTTGGGTGGGGCTGCTACTGGCTCACAAGCTGCTTCACGCGATTTGGATGCGTCTGGATTGATTTCGTCGTGTCCCCATTTAGATGTGGACATGGGTGGAGTGAAGGTTCCTTGTTTGGTAGACACCGGCTCCATGGTGTCTACTATTTCTGAGAGCTTTTTCCGCCAGCATCTCGAGCCTTGGGGCCAGGAGCGTCTCCGTTCTTGTCACTGGTTGGAGCTTAGAGCTGCCAACGGTCTGACTATTCCTTACCTTGGGTACTTGGAGCTTGACGTGCAACTTTGTGGTAAACTGATGCCCCACTGTGGT